AGTCTGTATGCTCCCCCCGAGACCCCCCCCCCCCCCCAGAGTGATTCCACTTGCCAACAGAAAGCTGCCTCTAAAATTCAGATCTAAAGCTTTAGCCTTTCTGCTTTGGGTCCCGCGCTCTACCAAGATACTTACTGTACATCCTCAGGGCACCCCCTCGGAACACATATCCTTCAATGACAACATGAAATAAGAAGTCATTTCTCAATAGGGAAGCACAGTGGCGTAGTGGTTAGCGCTTCTGCCTTGCAGCATTGGGGGTCCCTGGTTCACATACTGGCCTGGTCACTGTCTGCAAGGAGTTTGCATGTTCTCCCGGTGCTTGCATAGGTTTCCTCCGGTTTTCCTCCCACACTCCAAAGACATGCTGGTAGGTTAATTGGCTCCTCTCTAAGTTGGCCCTCTATGTATGTATGTGAGATAGGGACCTTAGATTGTAAGCTCCTTGATGGTAGGGACTGATGTGAATGTGCAACTATGTAAAGTGCTGCGTAAATTGTCGGCGCTAAATAAATACCTGTAATAAATAAAGTGAGGGAATTCCCAGCTTAGAAAGTTTTTACCAAAAGAGGTTAATTACTCAGACAGTTGTCACCAATAGACGTGTGCGATTCGTTTCGTTCCGAGTCAAAATTCCTCTGAATTTTCCGAAATTCGGCTATTCGGACAGTATTCAGAATTTCCGATTCCCAAGCATTCCGAATGTGTCCGAATTTCCATTTCCGAAATTTCGGATCCCAGCCCAAATTTAGTTTAAAAAACCAAATTTAATCGGACATGTGACTTTTCTGGCCAATCAGATGTGGTTTTCGGTTTAATGCATCCGAAAAGGTCTGAATCCGATTTCTGGGAGCCTCAGGTTTAGTTTTATGTATATATGGCTCCCAATGTTGCCGCTACGAATATTCGTTCGTACTACAGAATGCTAATTATATATACATGATACTAAAACTGAGGCTCCAAGACCCGAATGAAGTCCGAATTTCCAAACAGCATTCTGGAGCTCCCGAGTGCCATTCGGGTCTGGAAGCCTCAGCTTTAATATCATGTATGTATATGTCTATGGCTCCCAGACCCGTATTGCTTTCTGGAGCTCCCGAGTGCCATTCGGGTCTGGAAGCCTCAGCTTTAATATCATGTATGTATATGTCTATGGCTCCCAGACCCGTATTGCTTTCTGGAGCTCCCGAGTGCCATTCGGGTCTGGAAGCCTCAGCTTTAATATCATGTATGTATATGTCTATGGCTCCCAGACCCGTATTGCTTTCTGGAGCTCCCGAGTGCCATTCGGGTCTGGAAGCCTCAGCTTTAATATCATGTATGTATATGTCTATGGCTCCAAGACCCGTATTGATTTCTGGAGCTCCCGAACGCTATTCGGAAATTCGGACTCCCGAATGCCATTCGGGTCTAGGAGCTTCAGCTTTAGTATTAAAGGAGAACTATGAGATGAGTGATTTCCACTCACCTCATAGTTCTAGCCAACCTGTGACAATGAGACTGTCACAGGTCGGCTCAGTAGATCGGGAGGTGAGAGAACACATACCGGGTTCGCTCACCTCTCGATCCTGTCACGGCTCTCTGCCGTGACAGGGGGAGGGGCTGGATTCCCCTCTCCCCGCTCCGATCTGCCAGCGCTGACTGGCGGAACGGACGGGGGAGAGGGCGGGTACAGCTGGCTCTGCCTCTAGATAGGGAGAGCCAGCTGTCACTCACGCATCTGGGCGGATCCCGGCGTCTAAGTCGGGATCCGCTCCGGCGTCTCAGTATACAGCGAGCTGTAGCTTGCGGTATACTGAGCGTAGGGTGATGGGAGGACGCTAGTTTGTGTCCTCCCGTTACCCTAAGGAGAACTCCTTTAATATCTGTATATGGTTTTCTGTGATATTCGCAACGAATATTCATAAACTCATCCGAAACTAACGAAAATTCGGATTTCATCCAAAAACCCAGAACCGGATTGAATCCCGAAATTGCCTCGCTGTCAATGATCACCAGGACTACTAGAAAGAGTGAGTCTACCCAGCTGAGACACACAGGGTTATTCACAAAAGGGTGAAGGGTTTGGAGAAGGCCGGAGAAGTGAACAATCTAGGACAACATCGCTGAACTGGGAAGCTGAATTGGAGAATTTTTCCAAATCAGCTATTCTGGCCTCGATTGTTCACTTCTCCGGCCTTCTCCAAACTCTTCACCCTTCTGTGAATAACCCTGACAGACAGCAATATAAATCTGTTCAATCGCAAAAGGAGCCTCAAGTGAAATGGTGAACAAGTCCAAAAACATTAATAGCTTAATCACATAGACAGCCAACGCGTTTGGAGGCCAACACACTCCCTCCCTTCATCAAGGCTTTAAGAGTTTTGGCTAGACTCTGTGCACAAAGTTATAGGAAAGAATATAATTTGCTCATGGGGCAAATATATAAGTAAGAAAATTTCCCGATATAGATAGGGCCACAAATGTCGCTTGGTTTAAGCAATAAAGACCTTACAGGAGCTCTCACCGTTTCCTATGGTTTTGGTTTCAAATACACTTAAATATAATAAAATTTTTGTTTTTATATATGTCTTTTTATGGTATCTTTGATTTTTTTTCTTTGCGTTACAGTGTCCACATGACCAAATGACCTGATTATTTCCCATTTCGTCTTCCCCTGTCCCATTCACGCACAATTACAATTGTGACGTTTTCATACACAGGATTAATAATGTTTCTCCTCGGATTATACGGCTTCTCATGTTTTATTTAGCATTTCCTGCATTTTAAATGAAATTTAATTAAGCAGCAAGTAATTGTTCTGGAAGGAGAGGG